AGGCGAATGCGAATCCGAAGAGATAGTAAGAGATGGCTCCAGCGGCCGCATCGAGGACGTTGGTGAGCATGATGTTCATAGTGTTCTTGGCTCGGACTGAGCCGGCGCAGAGCATGGCGAAACCAAGCTGCATAGCGAAGACTAGGTAGGCGGAGAAGAGGAGATACGTGTTGTCCACGGCGTATGTTGTGTCGGAGAGTTTGTTGGAGATGTTGGAGAACTGAGAGCAGAGGAAGGTTGCAGCAGCGAGGGAAGAAGTGGAGTTAGAAGAGGAAGATAGGAGGACGGCGAGATCCTTGGCGGAACAAGTGGTGTCCATGGTGGAAAGAGAGTGAGAGTAGTAATTTGATTATGTGAGTGTGTTTGCTTGGGACTTTGGTGGTCGAAGTTGTATTTAAATTGGAAAAATAATCCACTATTAACAATATTTTATTTCATGAGAAAGAAAAAAGAAGTAGGGGTAGACGTCTTTTAAAAGTTTTAAAGGTTTTAGTTGGTATTTTAAGTTCATGTGTTGGGATTTTTCATTGTCCCAAAAAAGGTTGTGATGTAAGATCTATACTTACGTACATTTTTTTTTAAAACAAATTTGGGTTTCAATAGTATAACTAGAGCTGGAGGACCTCCTGTTTGGATGAAAGGTTTCTTTGAGAATGAGGAAAGTGATGTCTCTGTGTAGTTGGATCTTTGATGGGAAGGGTTTCAAGATTTTTTTGGGTTGGATCAATGGTAGTTTGTAGTTGACATTGATCATGGCTTTATTTTTTGGATGCTGATTGTAGTTGGCTAGGGGGTTTGGAACAGCTTATTCTGTTATGCTTGTAATGGTTACCTTTACATGTTGACACAAGCTCTTAGGCCATGATTATCGCAAGGCACAATGAGGTTTCTTAGTTAACTTTATGCGTGGGGTCTATTAAAAAGTTATAAGAAACAGGTTCAAAAGAGGTGAAATAAGAAACGGTTTGAAGATGGTATATGTATAATTTTATTCTGAAGACTACGTTGTAATTTGATCTAATAATTTTATTTTAAAATATATAAAAATTGAGTAATTTATTATAAACCATCAATTCAAGAAACAAAAGGAGATATATAAATAAAAATTTAATACAAGTTAACTATTTAAAAGAATATATATTGGTTGGTAGTCATGCGTTGGACAATGCCAATGGTTTTAGTAACAAGAGGTTCAAAGCTGTAACTACTTTATATGTTAGATCTTAGGGTTAGATTTTAGATTTAGTGGTTTTTTTGTTTTTTTTTTAATTAAAACTACATATTTGATTGATTTATACTTTGTATTTTTCTTTTCGATAATTGATACAAGGGTTAATTGATAGTTTTTAGTTATCAAGTGGATAATTGGAGTTTGGGATTTGTGGTTTTGTGTCTAGTAGAGTTTAATAAAGTTAACTTGATTCTATGATATAGTAAAAACATTTGTAGTCTGCTAAAATTGAGATTACAAAAATCAAAATATTAATTTTATTTTCTTTATATAAAAAATTAAAATGATAATTATCAACCTAATATTCAAAAACTGTGAGATCATATATTAAAATTAATAAAAAGATTAAAAAACAATAACAATGAAATTATTATAGTAACCTTTCAAAAAAGTCTAATAAGTAAACTTATAATAAAATCTACTCCATACTTTTAATTTTACTAGATGTACGAAGAAGTCTACTGTGTCGTAGATTTTAACATAGTTACAATTTTTTCTCTCTATATAAATGAAATTTATACGGTTTCTCCTTAAAATGGATGTATTAGTTTATAAAACTCTTTCACTTCTTTGTAGCACTCTTTCCTTTCTCTCTAAAACTTGCTCATTTCTCTCTAAATTCTATTTCTTTCTTTATAAAACTCTTGAATGTGAAGAATTTTTTAGTTTAATTTGTTAATTGTTTTTCATGTCTTTATCACAATATTATCTTGTTTTGTACGTATTATCATTCATAGGTTTCATCTTCGCCTCTCAAAAATGTAAGAGTTAGATTTATAGATTTTAAATGTGAATTTTTATGTTTATATTTAAATAAAGTTATAGATTTAAACTATATTCATTTACTTTACTCTTATTGTATCTTATAAATTATATTTTTGAAGTTTTTTTCAATTTTGAAATTATTTTTCATGTTTGTAAATGTATTGATAGAGTAGTTATAATTTTGATTTGAAAATTATGCGAGAGAGTGGAATTCTAATGAGATGGCAAAACAATAAACTTAGAATGGTTTACTTTTTAATCATGTGAACAAAAAATGAGTGTATAACTTTATATATGTAAATATTAGAGAAATTGGCAAGGATAATCATGAAAAAAAAGTTAATTAGGGAAATGACCATATAAATACTTAGGCTAGAATATGCAATGTATATTTATGTAACATTACAATATCTATCCCTAATAAATCTCAGCCTTTGATTTATTTATTTTTATTTTTATTTTTCCCTTTTCTCTTTTATTCTTTTTGCTTCTTATTTTATTTGATCTATATTTTCCTTTCCAATATAATTTAGCAAACAAATAATATCAAAATAAAACATACAGCTTTTTTTACATATACTATATTTTTTTCAAACGGATATGTATTTCTTTTAAAGTAAATAAATTGTTATTAACACTAATATATTCTTATATTCCATGTTATGTATATAGAATAACATATCTTTAAAATTTCTCTATTTTTCTCTCTCACTCATCAAATGTGACATGTTTTTTTGCTCTCTCTCTCTCTCTCTCTCTCTCTCTCTCTCTCTCTCTCTCTCTCTCTCTCTCTCTCTCTCTCTCTCTCTCTCTCTCTCTCTCTCTCTCTCTCTCTCTCTCTCTCTCTCTCTCTCTCTCTCTCTCTTCAAATGTGACATGTA